CTCTTCTATAGAAGAGTTTCCACAAATCTACAGTGCCGTTTAGAACCGGTTCCAGCTCCCTCCCACTGCTGGTCTGCACATCATCAAAATGAAGAGCGAGAGGAGGAATTCTGGGAGTTGAAGTCCACAAGTCTTAAAGCTGTCAAGTTTGAACACCCTTGGGTTTTTTTTCTAAAGGGTTAGGGATGCAAGGGCCTTGTATCTTGACAGCTTTAAGACTTGCACACTTCAATGCCAGAGTTCCTGAGCCAACATGACTGGAGGAGGAATTCTGGGATTTGAAGTCCACAAGTCTTAAAGATGTCAAGTTTGAACACCCCTGAGGTTTTTTTTCTAAAGGGTTAGGGGTGCAAGGGTCTTGTAACTTGATAGCTTAACACTTGCGTGCTTCAAATGCCAGAGTTTCTGAGCCAACATTTTGGTTGCTAAGCAAGAGCGTTGTTAAGTGAGTTTCACATTTTACAAGTTGGCCACTCCCACCCAGTCACATGACTGGTAAGCCACTCCCCTGGTCACATGGCTGGCAAGCTACTCCCCCAGTCACATGTCCGCAAGCCACTCCCACAAAGCAGGCCTCACCTACAGAAGAGGTTCTAAAAAATTTTGAAACCCACCACTGGCCATAGGTTATGATTGATATACCTCGTCGAGTTTAGTAGACCACAAATTATGCAGGTGTGCCATCTATGTATCTAATGGCAATTCCATGTTATCACTGTTTTTATTCCATAGCCTGCTGCTCAAAGTTGTTTAAAGCCAATACTTTCCTCATCACTCACTTCTACTATTCTCTACTGATATTATTAATAGAGATTTTCAGGAGACAATTTGTGCTCTTTCAGTTGGCCAGATGAGATGACAATTATCATCTCCTTCCATCGGTGACATCCACCACTCCTCCTGCTCTTTAGCTGAGCTATTACCAGTCCCAGTGTAATCAAAATCCACTCCGTGCAACAGGAATATAAAATAAACGGTTAGTTCTCCTTCCTCATGATTTCAGTTCATGTTGTGTGTGTTTGTCTTGCCATTTGGAAATAGAAAAAAAAAAAGATAATTTGCTGCAGAAAGGCCTTCTGTTTGCAAAATTGACTTTCCGCATTTCCAAAGCCACCCAGCTGGCTTTCATGCCTAAACCAGAACTCACAATTTCCTAGTTTCTAACCTGGTGACTTATCATTAGACCAAATGCCAGTTAAATAATCATGGGAGAGTTAACTATAATTTAAAACAAGCCCAATTGTGCATAGAGTTAAACTAATCCCATCCTTATCAATGGCTGAATCAATAAGCTCCAGTACAGAATTCACTATTGTATCACAGTGGCAATATCAAACACACTTTCAAAATCTTGATTGTTACAATGCCCAAGCCATACTTACTCCTACCAGTCTCTCGAATGGATAAGTGATATTATGGTGTTGTAGATGCTGGCCAGGAAAAAAGAGTTAATAAGGTGCCAGGTCCCCGCTGGAGAAATGGAAATGGGGACCTGTACTCTTCATATTGTATTATTTGAATATAATAAGGATATTTGATTTGGGTCATCAACTTAGTTGATACATTAATTGTCTTGTGAAAAATATGATAAAT